ATGCTTACTTGTCTTTCTGGTGCTTTTGGAACTTTTAGGTAAGAAGACTTCTTAAGCCAACGGAGTTAACAAAATAACTTGTAAAGTTAATATCATTTTGCTAATAATTTACGAACGGTTGGTTTGTATGAGCCAAAAGTTCCTTTTCTATTTCTCTTGATGCTTTTATTTGATCTGTTTTATTATTTAGTTCTTCATAACCACAAGAACATGTGACTAAGCTATTTATGATTAATAATTAACCACAACCAACAGTTGACATACTTGTGCATGTAAAAGTTAATTATAAGGTTAGAGATTAATTTAGTTATCATCAGTCAAAAGTAATAACATGTTTTGTTGCAATGCTCGTTTAATTATTTTAGCAAGCACCTTAACCGAGATTTTTATTAACTGGACTCGTTGTTCATAAATCATCTTAAAATCCAAGCGCCGAAGCACATAGGAAAGTTCAGAATATTTCGAGTTTTAATGCAAATCCCGACCTAGTCTAGTCACTCCTCTCATAACGTACCTTTAATTGATGGTGATTTCAAAATCGAGACTATCTAGTGGTTGTAACAAGTTTTAAAGATGAATGTAAACCATGAAAAACTTTAAGTAGCATTTAGACCAAGGTTATACTTATCTACTCCCCCTTCACAACCATGTAACTTGAAAAAGTAAAACCTTAAGCGTTTGTCAAAACAGTCAGTGCTTGACTACCAGTCTGATTCGTACTGAAAGGTGGACATTTTCTGTATAAGGCCGCCCAGAAAGAAAAATTCAGTGACTAGAGATATTGTCAGTTCACTCGAAATTGCTCAGGTTAATTTTATATAATTAGTGCCTTTCTATAAATCTTAATCAATAATAGCAATTGATGCACTCTTAGAATTGTCGGAAAAATTCCCTAAAGATTCTTTGAGCTTCTTTGAAAGCCGTTTCCGTATTGCATTCTCTGTACCTTTATGAGAGCTATCGATGACACATTTTGTAAACACTTGGAGTAGGTGCTTTTTAACGTGTATGATTACCGTTGTTTAAAATAACTATTGTTTAATCAAAGTACCACAATTGTCTCTTTCTTCATAAGTTCATTCAATGTTTCCTCATGATCCCTCTTTGGTACTCTAGACTGTAGAATTGATGTTGTAGTGTAATGATTGGGAATACCAACCAACTTTGTTTTTCACTATCCATAGGTTCCAGTCCTGACAATTGCTGATATAAGCGCGCAACTCGGGCTTTTTTAAATCCTGCTATATTTTCTTGGTACATGAATTTTAAGTTCGAAGGGGAAATGTTTCTGTCTTTGACCTAATTTTATACTCGTTAGGTTACTTATGTGCGTTTCAAAGTTTGCAAGAAAGAGATCGTATTGTTATTTTTCTCACCAGTATTTCGACCAATGCACTTATAAAATATAAGCAGGATGTGTTAAGGAAACATTTGAACGATTAGAAAATCCTGATACTTGGACTAGACGGGGATTCTAGCGTACTTATCTTATACTAAGATGATTATATAGGCAGAGTTATACCTACCTTAAGTGATTTCGCGAGACTTGTTATCGATAGCTCTCAGAAAAATGTGGTGAGTGGAATATGAAAACGACTTTGGAAGAAATTTAAAGAAAATTCAAAAAGGAATTCAGTTGAATATTCTATTTACGACAAACTCGAACAGTACGTTCTCGATTACCTTGTCTGTATAGCTTGCCATTTTTTACGACATTGGTTGTTATTACTTGATTCCAACTCACATTGGTGTTGATTAATTCACTTCATCTATTCTTTTCATTCTTCGACACCATTATTTTCTTCATTCCTAAGCTTATCATTTTATTTACTAAATCTTCGTCTTTGATATTTCTACTTCTTGTCGTAAAGTATTGATACTTAATACATAAAATTTCAGGTAAATATCTAAGTTGACATCTATCTTTTATGTACTCTACCAATACAATGACTATTCACTCTTCAAAAAACTATCTCAATGATAATGTGATGGGTCAAAATAAGTTAGCCCTGCAAACTAACTGGATCAGTCTAATTGTTCGCAATGGCCCTTAGTTTAGATCTTTATATGTGTAAGAAAATGGCGTCAATGCATGTAGGATTAACCGTTCAAACATGAAGCAAAATTTTGTTGGTAAGAATGTGAAGTTTGATCGCTATTTCTGAAGATTTTAGCTGTGCATTTATTTGTAATTGCAATATAGTTGCTTGATAGCTGAACTTCTACTTTTCGTATTTTTATTCATATTCGTAACAACAATCCTAATGTTAGTTGTTCTACTTTACTATGCTGTTCTTCTGTTTGCCGCACTTATTTGCTGCTTATCATTGTAACTTCATAAGCAATATTAGCTTTAGGACGTCAGTTTGTAAGCTCCATTCAGTAATGATTGGGGAGGTCGATTTAAAGGATATCTTAGTAATAAAATCAATCTAATCAATTATTCTTAAGGTGAGATTATAGTTGATTTTATAGGACTTTCGTTTAAGATTAAATTAGTGGTTCTGTCAGTCGACGTTTAAGGATACTAATATGTATTGTTTAAGCTTCGTTCTATGCCGTTCCAGTATCATACTAAAGTAGACTAGAGCTTAAAATATCGTTACTTTGAATGTATATTTCCATATTAGTGGTTTGCTTTTGTGTGTCACTTATGAATTAAGTACTCATAAAATTTTTCAATCTTGCTTTTAACAAAGCTGTGGTACACATGTCCGAAAAGTAAATAGTAGTAACACAAACAGTTCAAGTTTATTTTCTACCTGAAGGCATGCCAAATATAAATTACGAAGATAAACAAAACAATGTGCTTATTAGTAAAAAAGCACTGTGGAGCACGTAAAAATGTGCGGAATAATATCTAAATCATTTAAAGCGATAAAAAGTGGGTTCATTTCTTTAACCAACTTTGAGTTAGATCAATTCTCTTCTTTACTTCTACTTCTAGATTTCACGTCATGTGGGAAAGACCAATAATATGTGTTATAATTGTATTTTTGCTATATAAACGACCCAGCTATTCCTATTGCTTAGTATTCTTATACAATGACACCCGACAAGACCCCAAAATCAGAACACGTTGAACAGGAATCAAATTGTATTCAAAATTATAATAATAAGTGAACAGCAATCAATAGTTTAAATAATATTCATATATTTATAGTATATACATAAGAAGCTTATAGATTTTTCTGCAATAATATGCCCAGGCTGATCGGTTTAAAATTAACCAATCAGCGCGCAGCAACACCATCATGCATAAAACATGCTTAATCCCACTAACGATATGTCAAATAATTTACGCCCGTTGCGTTTTAGTAATGAACGTTGTCTTATAAGTTGTCATTTGGTAGTAACTCTTCCTTGTGAACCTGTCGTTCTGCAATGTCGGATTTTGTCCGTTTTTTGTTTCAAACCTATTCCAATGATATTGGTTTAATGAGTCTGTTAATATTCGACACAAGTTCACTTTAGCACCTATTCAGCTGCATAGAGAAACTTGACATTAATGAATAATTATTTTATCATGGTGGTTAAATTCATCCTGTATACCTAATCCAAGTAACCTGCTGTTCGTGTTCAGTTCAAATAAACAGTCTTTAAGTTCATGACACAGATTTACGCTATTTTTTCTCATATAAGTCACTTAATTGGAAAATTTTTAAACACATTCTAAAATTCTCGGCTGGTTGCTGTCGTTAAGCAGCACCATTTCTCAAGTAAGTTGTGCTCTCAAACACAATATTTACAAAGTCAATAGAAAAAGCCTATAAACCACTCACGCATTCTATCTTCAGTGATCGTTTTCTCTCGAATATATAGCCTCTGCCAGGGAAGTCCTACTCACTGCCTTCTCGTGGCGGGGGTGTTGTTTACGAAAGTGAGAGGACGAAAAGCGAATGTCCGGCGCTATAACCGGATTGGTGGACACGGAGGGTCCACCTAGGGGAGTTGGAAAACCCTGATTCCAAACCAATGGTGCACATGGGCTCCAGTATCCTGATGGAACGAATGGCGGAAGAACCTGCTGTTGGTCAACGGCAACCATGGGACTGCATCTCCTCACGATGCTCCACTGCCTTGTGGATCAGACCTTTAGGTCAAAGGCTCGGGGTGTGGTCCCCTAAGAAAACCACCTGCTTCGGTTTGGGCACCCGGGCAGTATCACAGCCCACACACAAACAAATGAATGAAATTATGAACTCTATTGACGATATCCCTGGTCATACTAAAAGCAAGACAATTAACATTATTATTATTATTACCTTTATTATTATTATTATTATTATTATTATTATTATTATTATTATTATTACTTACCATATCGCTAATTCACCCCCTTTTATCCCCAATTTGTGTAACCTTACTCTTCAACTTATGCAGCAGCTCGCTCTTGGTGGAAAATCTGTCCTATCTAAACGATCTCCAGTCACTGTCTGGTTGCAAGTGAATGCTTCCACCGATTATGAATACTGAGGCAGTCTTTCTGAAACCACGTACGCCGTTCAAGCTGGCTTCCTTCAACGTTCGCACACTAATGCAGATCAGACAACAGATAGGGCTGGTTATGTCTTTGGAAGGTCTTAATGTTGACGTTTGTTGTCTATCCGAGACCCGTATTCAAGACTCTAGTGAAGTACTACAAATCCGCTCTCCATCTGTCGCCTCGAAAAGCTTGTTCCACGTGCGCTTATCCGGGGACCCTGTGGCATCTTCGTCTGGTCTTGCTGGCGTTGGTGTCGCACTAAGCGCTAGAGCTGAGGCAGCACTAATCGATTGGATCCCCAATAACAGTCGGTTATGTGCTGTTAGATTAGAAAGTTCCATCAAAGTGAGAAGAAATCGGCGTGAGAAACGGTGTCTTTTCGTCATCTCCGCCTATGCCCCGACAGATTGCAGCCCGGATGCAATCAAGGATGAGTTTTACCATCAGTTAACAGTTCTTCTCCAGAAAGCGCGTTCGACAGATATTGTAGTACTAGCCGGAGACTTGAATGCACAGGTCGGGCGTCTAGGCACAGAAGAGAGTCGTCTAGGTGGCCGATGGGGACTTGTTGGTCGCCGGACAGATAACGGGGACCGTTTGCTGCAACTGTGCACAGACCACAACCTGTTTCTGGCCAGCACTAACTTCCGGCACAGTCATCGCCGGTGTGCCACCTGGCGTCCTCCCTCTGCATCTCAAGCCTGGACTCAGATTGATCACATCGCGATCAGCTACCGCTGGCGTGGTTGTGTACAAGACTGCCGCTCCTTTTGGAGTACCTATCTGGAGTCTGATCATGCCCTGGTCTGCGCCAATCTCACCTTACTTTTCAGTGGCCGAAGGATTGACCACCACCAACGGATTGATATTAGTAAACTGGCTGCAACTTCTGTTGCAAGTAAGTATCGAGCGGAGCTAGCCTCTAGGCTAGCTACCACCCCACCGAAAAGTATAGATGAGCATTGGTTGCATCTTCACGACGCCATGAAAATGGCCAGTAAAGCCGCTTGCGGCTTCGAGAAACGTCCCGCTTACAAGCACTGGGTTTCTTCTGGCTCCTTACAACTGATCGAAGCCCGTCGGTCTACTCCGGGTGACCGTGAGTTTGACCACAAACGAAGGCTGTTACGTAATGAAATCGGGCAAAGCTTGTGTAAGGACCGGGAAGCCTGGTGGTCGGAGCGTGCTAATGAGATGGAAGCAGCAGCTGCATCTGGTAACTGCCGGAAGCTCTTCCAACTCATCCGAGCCACTGGCAGCAAGAAGTCTGGTGTGAGTGAAACAATCTACGAGGATGGCGGGATGCCAATCACTAACATCTGTCGACGTCTTGGACGATGGGCGGAATTTTTCGAAGGGCAGTTCAACTGGCCTGCTGCTCCGGCAACATCAACCAGCTTGTCCTGCTCCCCATGGCCGGTGACGACTGATCCACCAAACGAGGCGGAAGTCCACAAGGAACTCCAACTCTTGAAACGTTATAAATCACCTGGCCCAGATGACTTACCTCCGGCTCTTTTTAAAGATGGTGGTGACTTTCTGGCTAAGGAACTGACGGTGTTGTTTGGAAAGGTTTGGGAGCAAGAAAGTGTTCCAACATCTTGGAATGAGTCAATAGTCGTCCCTATCTTTAAAAAGGGTTCACGTTGTTCCTGCAATAACTACCGGGGGATAAGTCTACTTTCGATCGCGTCCAAACTATTGGCTTCTATCATTCTTCGTAGGTTGTTTAAAACCCGAGAACGATTGACTCGCGAGGAGCAGGCTGGTTTTCGTTCTGGTCGAGGATGCATTGATCACATCTTCACCCTCCGCCAAATGTTAGAACACCGTCATACTTATCGCAGGCCAACAATCGTAGTGTTTCTTGATATCAGGGCGGCCTTCGATTCGTTGGACAGGACTGTTCTCTGGGATTGTCTATTGAAGAAGGGTGTGCCTGAGAAGTTCATTAACATCTTAAAGGCCCTGTACACGAACACCTCAGGCAGAGTGAGGGCATACAACCACCTTTCTCCCTTGTTCCATTCGAGCAGTGGGGTTAGGCAGGGTTGCCCGATCTCACCATTCCTCTTCAACTTTGCCATCGACGACATCCTAGAAACAGCTCTGATGGATGTAAGTAATGGCGGTGTGGATATGTTGCCTGGAGAACGACTTCTCGACCTTGAGTATGCGGATGATATTGTCTTACTGTGCGATAATGCCCAAGGCATGCAATCCGCACTTAATCAGTTGGCAATCAGTGTCCGCAGGTACGGCATGTGCTTTGCACCCTCCAAGTGCAAAGTACTTCTACAAGACTGGCAGGATTCTCATCCTGTACTCACCCTGGATGGTGAGGAGATCGAAGTAGTTGAGAAGTTCGTGTATCTAGGTAGCTATATAAGTGCTGGTGGTGGCGTGAGTGATGAGATTGATGCACGTATAATGAAAGCCAGAGCGGCTTATGCCAATCTGGGCCATCTTTGGCGCTTTCGTGATGTTAGTCTGGCTGTAAAAGGTCGGATCTACAACGCGTCGGTGAGAGCAGTTTTGCTCTATGCTTGTGAAACCTGGCCTCTCCGAGTTGAGGATGTTAGACGTCTCTCTGTGTTCGATCATCGTTGTCTCCGAAGGATTGCTGACATCCAGTGGCAACACCATGTTAGTAATGCAGAGGTTCGGCATCGTGTGTTCGGGCGCAGAGACGATAATTCAATTGGTGTCACCATCTTGAAACACCGACTTCGGTGGATTGGACATGTTTTACGAATGTCGTCCCAGAGACTTCCACGTCGTGCATTATTTGCCGACCCTGGGACTGGTTGGAGAAAGCGGAGAGGAGGTCAGTGTATGACATGGTGTCGTGGCATGAAAGAGAGCTGCAAAGGGCTAGCTTCCGTTGGTCCTTCACGACTCCCTGGTTGGGGTCCGAGAGATAGTGCAACACAGTGGCTAGAGACGTTATCGGATATGGCTCAGAATCGAAGCCAGTGGCGATCCTGCTGCAACCTTCTTTTACTTTCTACATAAAGAATGGTTCTAACTTTCCTAACTGAAAGAATCTTCTGGTTGTACATTTCAGCCCGCCTTATCTTTTCATCCTTTATCTACCTACTTTCATTATTTTGTGTGGCGCATATGTACCTGGTGCCCTTTTGTACCAATATATATGTGTTTAAATAAATAAATAAATAAATGTTTTCTCTGTTTAGCAACAAAAAGGGTTTGAATCATATTGTTTCGGAACTATTTCATCTAATGGTGTTTTCCACACCTATTTTTTTCAAAAAACTGCTCAAGTTTCGTAGCCTACGGTAATATTATATTTTACGTTGAAGTACCACTGACGTACATAGCTTCATTGCTCGTTTCATCAACGTTACTTACACAAATGATAGTGTTTTATCACTTTTTGAATGATTATTTGTCTCTTCATGCTTTTATTCTCTAAGGCACACCAATCTAATCGTGTATGCAACGCGTTGGCTCTTCTGCAATGTTTAGCTTCCCATCCGGAAACCAGAAATGAATTTTTGAAAGCTAATATACCTCTTTATTTATACACATTTTTGAATACAAATAATCGAACACGCCCATTTGAATATCTAAGGTTAACAAGCCTAGGGGTGATTGGTGCACTTGTTAAGGTAAGTGCATATATATATATACTGCTTATCTTTGGAATGAGTTTTTTTCGTCTTCTTGTCGATGAATGTTACATTACACAGTCAATTTTGACTGAGTTATTTTTTGTTATATGTAGATTGTATATTTTGCTACTTGTAGTTAGTCTTTAGCTTTCCAATTTCTCGTTAATCGCCATCAAATAAATGACATTGTTTATCAATGATCAAAGAGTTAACAGTCACTTATTTAAGGCTTTTATTACAACTTAGTGTGTAGTACTTGTCAGATAACAATCTGTCCAGCATGATGGACGTATTTTATTTAAATTTAAATACATAAATATTGGCGCCAAATACATATGCGCCACACTTCATCACTAGATTTATGTGAGAGCCTTGATACTGACCGGGCACCCAAACCGAAACAGGTGGTTTTCGTAAGGGGCCACTCCCCAAGCCTTTGACCTTAGGGTCTAGTCCACAAGGCAGTGGAGCAACGTAAGGAGATGTAGTCCCATAGTATTCGGTGGCCAACTGTTGGTTCGTACGCCATTTTTTCCTTCAGGATCCTGTAACTCATGTGCACCATTGGTTTGGAATCAGGGTTTTCCAACTTCCATAAGTGGATCCTCTATATCTACCAACCCGGTTAGAGCGCTGGACATTCGCCTTTCATCATCTCATTTTCATAAACCACACCCCCACTTCGAGAAGTCAGTGAGTAGGACTTCCCTGACAGTAGCTGTATACGCGTGGCCATGTGAGAGCATTTCGAGAGGAAAAGCAGACTCTCCAACTCCGGCCGTACCAGGACATTTGGGGGCTTAGACGTATTGCTTACACACTATGGTTGCATTAATAGTAGTCAATTGATTCATATGCGTATGTAAATGTATATTTATAAATTGATGTCCCTTCCATTGAATCATGTAGGTGTTAATGACCATTAAATTATCATCCAACTTTATTCTATCATATTGGAGTGTTAATATTGTAGTTGGGAGTGCTGTCTGGTATTAGTTGCTATATTAGTATATTCCTATATTCAGTATTTTGTATATTTAGTTTTAAAGTTTAAGTAAAAAGAACCAACCGATTCTATCGTTTTTTTATGAAGAGACACTAGCCTTTGTAGTAGGTACGTGCTGTTTACTTCTGTACTCCAAACAAATATGTTCTTTCCTAAAACACTAGCTTACTTATATACTTATTATCTCAGATATAATAGTATTTCTCTGGCGAGATTTGTCATAATTGAGGGACTTCAAATGGTTTTTATAAAAACCATAAATTATTCGATTATTACTCGGATAAATTTTGTTTTTGGGATGACATGATCAGTGAATGTAACTTCTCTTCACATTTTACTTATATCGAATAACTGTTTATAGTATATCTGACATTTATTGTCACCTTGCATTCTACAATATTTATTATCAATGATAATAAACAACGCGGAATTATGGCACGTATTTAGGTAGTATCTTTTGGGAATTAGTTTCAGTTGTATCTCAGCTACCATGGTATATTTTTTAGTACTGACAAAAACTGATATATCAGCTTTTCTAATTCGAATCCTTCTCTTAAATTCAGAGTTCCTCACTTCGCAGTTTTATAGCGTTTTTAGTGGTACGAAAACTTATAATATCTTTGTGTTGTTTGGGACCAGTGAGTGTTTTATAAGGCTATAAAAAAACACATTGAATTTCTTATCTCACTATACATTCCTAAATTCTTTTCTAACCAGTCTTTGTGTTTCAAACTGTGATGGTTCAAGTCCAGTAATTCTCTGAAGACCGTTCAAACAACACCAAATTTTAAAAAAATGATTGTCTTAGCCTGACACCACGAAAGTTTTCAAAACTAATTATGCAACATTCTACATATTCCAGGTCTTATTGGATGTAACTATCGAAGATAAACACCGTATATGTTTTAATACAGATGTTTTATTTTAATTTCAGACGGACGAACCAGAAGTTATAGCCTTCTTACTTGGTTCAGAAATTATACCTCTTTGTTTAGTAATTATGGAATCAGGAAGTGAACTGAGCAAAACTGTGAGTTTTAGACCTTTCAGTTTATTCGAGTACTTATTTTCACATAAGTTAGGGAAATGTGGTATTGAGTTATAATTTATCGAGTCAAGGATTTGAATTGGCTTGGTTTTTTTAAAATCTGTGCGGCTGAATATTATCTTGAGTTTCAAAGAAACTGAACTTGCTTCAAGTTTAATCCACTCTTTCTGGATAGTCTAAAAATTTATTCGATGAAATTATAAAACCATTTGTCGTCAAATCGGAGTTAAATCTTCTGGGTCTATGTTTATTCATGATTTTACAATAAAGAATAATCATTTAAAATTCACATTTTGTTTACTTTTTCGTAACCATTCATGTCTTGCGTAGTCTGAGACTACTTATCTTATTTTGTGAGAGGAATCACAACATTATGTTTGATAACATGTATGAGGTCCTTATGTTAAAAAGTTAATTGGACGATTAAACTTTCCCTGTGTTGTTTACTAAGCTTGACCTGAACTTTATTCCTTGGTTAAAAATATTAAACTATAGCTTGGCTTTTAAAGATCAAAAATTTGGTGTTTTTACCTTTTAGTTAGATTTTTCACCCAATCAAGAATTAATTAATTACAGTTTAGTAAATTTGATTTATCTGTTTTTACGTTACATTCGCAAGAATAAGTTGGTTAACTAACACTTTTGTAGTATAACTATATTATTATCATACTCATTTTAATCAAGGTAGCTACTTTCATCATGCAGAAACTGTTGTTGGATGAAGTAGGCCTAGCGTATATCTGTCAAACCTATGAACGATTTGCACATGTAGCCACTGTTTTGGATAAAATGGTGATCCATTTGGCGAGGGAGCAGTCGTTACGTCTTTTAAAACATGTAATACGATGTTACTTACGTCTTTCAGATGACTCACGGTAAGTTTCTGCTATATGGTTACTAAGATTGTATTTACAATGAAAATCGTCACTAAGTTGTTCAGTTAATAAAGGTGTCAATATTAACTAATATGTAATTATTTGTTAAGTGTGTTTGTTTCCAAGCAGTTGCAGTTGCTTAATAATTTAAATATTAGTTATTTTGTTCGTATGTATAATACAATGTAATTTTATAGAGGAATCTTAGATACTAAGACAATGTAAATTGCCTTCATTGACCTGTAGTCCTACTTCATTACAAAAAAGTGTTGTGAAGGTCTGATTGACTCGATAAAATTCAATAGGTTACGTTGCCAAGATATTAATGTTGGTGATAGAAAAAGTCAGACCCAACGAAATAAATTTAAAAAAGTAAAGCTACTGACCAACTGACTGAATATGTTAAACTAAGTTACAAATTTTATTTACAAAATACTGAACCATAATTGTATGACTACATTAACTATCAGATAACAAATAATAAGAATAAATGTCACATTAACCATTGACTACTTATCTCTACCAGTCGGAACACTAGAGTTCATGAAAAATTCTAAGAACGAAAACTTACTAGCAAAATAAGAACCTCGTTTTCCCACGATGTAATATCTATTATTTCTAACGGTGTCTACGTACTACTTCCTTGAAAAGCTTTTGTGATGAGATTTTATCTTAATGAATGTTATTTTCTTCAAAAATCTTATATTATCAGTATGGGGTTATGGCTATTGAGTTTTTCTCGATTGTGGTCATGAGTCGATCAAGGTCTCACTAGTGAGACAGTGACCTAATTCAGACAATAGAAGATGGTCGCGCGATTTCGTGGATTGGTTGAAGTTAGACATCATTAAATGCCGGCTCAGTGGTCTAGAGGTTAAGCGTTCGCGCGCAAGACCGAAGGTCCGGAGTTCGAGTCCCGCGTGGAGGATCGTGGGCGCGCACTACTGAGGAGTCTCATACTAGAGCGGAACACCCGCCCAGTCCTTCTAGGTTTTCAGTGGTGGTCTAACATTGATCGATCCATGATTTCAATCGAAAATATCTTATATATTAGGCTCTAAACATGATTCAGTGGCTTCACGAAACCCTTCCTGACATATGCGTTTTTCATAGAAAAAAAAACATAGATTGGGCGGATAGTGAAAACAAGATACAACTCCGAACATGTAGTTAGTGGCCTAAAACATTTTAACTAGTATTAGTTAGTTAGTTGTCTGTGTGCAAGAGCTATCCTCTTCAAAACGTTCCCCAATGCTTTTAACTTTACAGTTTCGTAATGACACCCTTTATTCATAAAGAAAAAAAAAACAATTATTGGAGCAGAATGACATGAGTTCATTTATTTTGTGCATTTTCTCCAGCTGCTTAAAACCTAAAACTTATAGCATTAATCATCATAACAAGGCAAGTGTACATACTCTTAGGATATAGTGACCTGACTTAAATCAATGTCAGGCGTTATTATTACTATTTACTTTCATAAATAAAGTGAACAGTCGTGTTTTCCCTTTAAGTATCTAACACGTTGTTTCACTCTGGCGTTACTGTAATCCAAAATTTAAAAACACCAGTGGTAACATCTCACTAATACAAACTTATGTAACCGTTCTCGTAAATGCGCTCGTCCAGTCAGTCAGTTACAACGTAGGACCAGGAGCATATATGCATCTCTCCAAGTTGCCATACCTCATTCGCGCTCGTTAAATCTTAATGAAGTTTGCTGTTTCTCCCATGGGTCGTTAATTTGTTGGCAGATATTAAAACGTGGTTGTTTTTATGTTGTCTTAAGTGGTAGTGTGCTCTCTAGTTATTCAAATTATTCGGAAATTAAACTGAACATCGTAATTGGTTTATGAGTGTTTTCTTGGAAGTCTAAGAATTACAATTCTCAAGGTATTATTTCTGACAATTTACTTCACGACAAATAAAAAGTGGTCATTTGGTATGTTTGTCCACATCTCTAAATATGATTTTGTCGAATTTCATACTGTTAACTAATCTTATATGTTTTGTCACTCTTTATGTTTTAGAGCTCGTGATGCTCTTCGAACATGTTTGCCGCAACAGCTTGTAGACGGCACATTCAGTAGCTTGTTAGAGAATGATGTCGCTACTAGACGTTGGCTTACACAATTAATTCGCCAGTTATCTGTTCGTGCCGTTGGTTCTGCGGCTACGTCTAGCACTCCTTCTTCTAGTGTTAGCTCGGTTGATGTCAATACACTGAACACTACAAATGCCATTCGAACTGCTCTTAAAACCAGTACAATTGCTTCTTCAGTAGTAACCACAGTATCTACTGTAAGTTCTTCTGGACCGTCAGTTTCAAACGTTACAGGTGCACCGAGTAGTACATCAGGTGCCCAAGTGTCTACATCTTGTCCTGTGTCTTCCAGCTCGGTTTTAGATCCTGCAGCATCTTCAAGTAGCTGAAATACCGTCATACTAACCTACTTTTTAGGAAGCCTTGCATATTCTATTTGAGATATGCTTGGTTTTATTATATGTACATAATTATTTCTGATTTTCCTCCAATCAAAACCTTTTTATACCTTCCTTGGTTTAATCAGATGCAGTGTTTAACTTTTGTTCGGAAAGTGGTTAGTCACTCAAAAAAACGCTTTCTGGGATCTTAACAAATTTTTTTATTTTATGTGTGGACATTTCGCAAGTGGCATTTTCGTGCTTTCTTGCTCTGATATATTTATGGGCGTCATTTACATGTTTCATTTTTCCGTGTAAATCGCATATGAGCCGTAAAAACAATTTAACATGCAACAATCTTACTTCATAATTTTTTATTTATTGGTGTAGTAAACTGTCGGTATTTGATTGGGAATGTAATTGTAGAAGAATTAGCTATCGAGTTGGGTCTCCACATCACCCTAGACACTCGGTTAAATTTTTGTGTAAAGTTTCTTGGTTTCGTTAGTTCCGTTAGCTCCATGTTTGACTGATATTGAATGGATTCCATAACATGCATTTCGTTCTCATCTAGTTCTTCTATATTAAAACACTGGAATATGTATTTTTGACAGTGATATCTCCCAGCGCATCTGAAACGAATATCAATAGTTTACTGTAATACCATTTGTTCATTAACTCGATGTCAAACGTTATACAGTACGGAGGTAGCGTATTGTTTCAGGGACTGACAAGAGCTTCTTTAGTAATTTGAAACTAGTGTTGATCCTAACACGTATTACCAAGTTATTTTAGGTACCATATGGCAAAACAGCAGAGGATAAGTCAAATATCATCACATTAAGTTATCGGTTGCTAAGTGGAGTTAATTAAAACTAATAATAACAGAACCTTAGCATAAAATGACATTCATTGACATTTTCTTAGGTTTAAGATCTCAGTTGATCGCATTTCAGTAATCAGTGTGAGTGAAGAAGAGAAATCTTAATCTCAGGTTATAATGCTCAGTCAAATTAATCTCTGAAATCCTAATAAGCACTAAACAACGTTTTCGAAATAATGTTCAACTTGCCTGTATATATTTCCTACCCTGATATCCGGTAGTATCTCATCAAAATCATACAAGGCGCAATTTATTGTCTGGGCCGTCTGCTTGTTACCGTTTTCTTGCAGTACAAAAGATATGCCAGGTATATTGGTGAAAGTGTCACCCTTGGATACACACCGTCCAAATATCTCATAAACAACTGGGCAGTTAATGTTTTTGGACAAATAAGTGCATATTCCCCTAAGTCTTCTTATCTGTATGGTTATCACTTTTAAACTATTGTCAATAATTTTATACTGGGAGGCTTCTGGGTCTTCAGGCATAAGTAATTCGTATGGTGAAGCGAACTTGGTTGTAGTCTGACTCTTCAAAGGACGTAAATAATCAAACAGTGTGTGGATTTTACTCTCGTGATTTCTTGTCAAAACTTTGTGTTCGCCATTTGAGAGGTTGAGTGTTTTCCCGTCATAACTTCGTCTAGATGAGTAATATTGGATAAGAAGGCGAGGATTGACGTTCAATACGTCAGGTTTAATCATCGCTGAATACCGGAAAGTGGCGCAAATGCACGGGTTCACACTTAAATTTCCAAAGATTGAATTATTATAAATAGATAGTTTATGAAAATTTCAGAGGAAATGATTTCAAACTGTTCGTCGCTTTGCTTTTCACAGAATGAAATTAAGTCCAATCTACAAATAATGACTTAGTAAAATTGTTTTAACCATTTAATCGACAGTTAAGAGCTGAAATAATAAGTTCGTCGCGAAATCTGGACTGTGTTTTTCAAAATGCGCCGTTCGTCTGATATTTCTTTGGCTGAATTAAAACACCTTGAAGTTGAAATTTTAGTTACTAGTGTTTGCATAGTTCGTCACACAATTTTTGTCCGACTACATTTAGACTTTTTTCGTCCTAAATAATTGGACAGAAAGCTTTTGTCAACCATGTGTTGTAGATAGTATGGTTTGATTCAGTAATAAGGATATGAGGTCTAGTGACCTATTTTAATCCTTGCAGTTTGTTACACTGTGGAGGTCCAATCTCGTCTTGAATATATCAACAGAAGGTGCTGATATTACGTGTTCTGGTAGAGAATTCCAGTAATTCACTACTCGGTGCGAGAAACGAAACTCCAGATATAGACGATTTGATCTCGGTTTTTGACTTTCTTTGAATGTCCTTTCAAATGCTCAGCCCTAGACGGGAGGAAAAGATAGGACATGTTAGTACCAAGGTCATCGTTCAGGATACGATATGCCAATATTAGATCACCCCGTATTCGCCGGTAAGATAACGGAAATAAGTTGAGTTGTCTCAATCTGTCTTCATAAGATAGGCTATATAAGTCTTTTACCATTTTTGTCCCGCGGCGTTGGACTCGTTCCAACATACCCGCCTCATATTTGAAACAAGGACTCGCTGCTTGAATCCCATATTCTAAATGTGGCCGTACGAAAGTTGGGTATAATAATCTAAACATTTCCCCATCCAGATACCGGAAAGATCTACAAATAGACCATAATGCCCTATAGCCTTTTGCAGCAGCAGCCTTACAGTGACTGGTTGGTTTGAGATCATTACTTAGTATGACTCCTAAATCTTTATAGTTTCTTACTTTGGGCAACACTAGTCCACATATTGTGTAGTGATACGAATCATCGTAGATATTTAATTGCATCACAACACTTTTATTAAGGTTTACTTCTAGTGACCACCCATTCATCCATGCAACTAATGAGTTAAGATCTTCCTGTAAAACTATTCTGTCTGACATACTAGATATGGGTCTCCAAATCTTAATGTCATCGGTGAATAGTAGGACGGATGACTTAGCCATAGCTGGTAATTCATTTATATAAAGTAAAAAGAGAAGAGGACCTAAAACCGTGCCTTGGGGGACGCCACTTTTTACTGGTTCCCACGATGAGAGAGCCCCATTTACTCTTACCCGTTGTCTCCTTTCATGAAGAAAGTCACTTAGCCAGTCTATGACTGCATGATGAATTCCAAAACTTTCTAGTTTCAATTTAAGACCAGAATGGGAAACCTTATCAAAGGCTTTACTTAGATCTATGAAAATGACATCTACAGGAATATTGCGATCTTTTGCCTCAGCCCAATCTTCTCTTGCAATGAGAAGATTTGTCAAACATGATAGACCTTTTCGAAAACCATGTTGTTCCTTTGACAAAAGATCATGTCTTTCCACATAGTTTATAACAGCCATCCTAATAATTTTTTCCATTAGTTTTACAACTGCACTAGTTAAGCTGACGGGTCGATAGTTACTAACTAAATCCCTACCCCCAGTCTTATACACCGGACTGATTATTGCGTCCTTCCAGTCTCTGGGCAATCTGGACCGCCGTAGGGACATATCGAACAGCATCGCTAAGGGTTCAGCAATAACATCTGAGAGGGCTTTCATAATCCGAGGATGAATATCATCAGGACCACTAGACTTATCAGGTTTGAGATGCTGGAGTAGGCTTAAAACAGTTTCTTTCTTAATAACTACAGGGTCCATCAACAAGTCGCCACAATCACAATGAATAGGTGATCGTTCCTCATTATTGGTAGAAAAAACTTTACTGAAATATTCCGAAAAAGCTTCCGCTTTTTCGGTATCATTTCTTGCCAAACTTAACGGATTTTCTTGTACCGAAAGTGATGGTATTCCATCACTTCTCTGAGTTCGCCTCTTTATATACGAGAATAACCGTTTGGGACTATGTTTGCAATCCCTAACCAATTGTTTTTCGTATGACCGTCTAGTTCTACTAATTAATGCTTTACAATTATTTCTAATCTTACGATAACTAGATCTGTACTGTTCTAAGCCAGTAGAGATGAACATGTTCCAGTGTTTTTTTATACGCCTAAGGAGTTTCTTAACTTCTTTATTTATCCACGGTGGACTATTGTTCGGTCTACGTGGCACCAAGTATGGTATAAACGGGGACGTGACTGCACTAAACTTGCCTTTAAATACAGACCACGCCTCATCAACTGATGAGCTAGTATCTACTGACCAATCTATCTTAGTAGCACAATCCTGAATTTCTGGTATGTTAGCTCTCCATATGTTTGGGCGAGGCTTAATCTGATCGTATATCATATCGCTAGCTCTAAACGTGAATGATAAAACAGCGTGATCGCTATTTACTAACGGGGGAAGAATATTTAGGTTGGCAATATCCTCAGTCTCATGGGTAATTACCAAGTCCAACAGAGAAGAACCTTGGTTTACACCGAAACGTGTAGGTTTGGATACATGTTGTACTAATGCATGTTCCATTACTGTTTCCAAGAGCCTGCTATCAAATGAGTTTATAGAGCATTTCGTGGTCATCTCAGTCCAACTAATGTCAGGTGCATTAAAGTCTCCTAATATCAAGCATCTGTTATTTGCACTCCATAGCCGAATGTGCTCTAAAATAAAGTCATCAGCTAAGCAGATTGGGCTGCGATAGATGACACCGAGTGCAAATGTACAACATCCGACAGTGAGTTCACAGCTAATGACTTCACTAGTTCCACTATCATGAGATTCGAAAGCGGAGGAGCGGATATTTATACTATTGGCTATGTATAGAAGGACGCCACCTCCTTTCCTGCAACTATGTCTATCACTTCTTAAACAATGATATCCGGATAATTCTGGGGTGATATCGAAGTCATGGACTAACCAAGTTTCCGTCACAGCTACAATGAGTGGCCTTAATTTGTCCACTAATGTTCCTAGCTCGTAGAATTTATGTTTTAGACTACGGGCGTTGGCATATAAAACTCCTAGGGGGAACGACCTATCCACACAGGCCTTGGTAGCATTCGCTTCCAAGATCTGACTATTCGAAAACCCATCAATCGGAGATTTTCTTCACCGTTTTGTCAACGGGTTTCTAGTTCAGCTAGTGCCGTCTTCCTTTTTATTCTATCTTCAAGAGACACATCCGGTCTAATTCGAATGTCAGAGTTGTCGTGACTTCGAGCGTTACTTAACAGAAGATTACGTTGTTTCTCCGACCCTAAGATTACCTTAAGGAGTCTACACGGTCGGGGTAGAACACTGTCATCGGCTCTTTTACCTATTCTAACTAATTTTTTGACCTGAACACCTTTAGTGTTATCTGGTAATATGCTACGGATATATTCTCCGGGCCTCTCTAAGTCATGGGTGTGTCTAACCTTAGGATCTGGATCGTTAGACTCTGGCAATTTACTCACAATAATATTCGATGATATTAAATTCCTCTCAGTCGCACTAGGATGATGATCTGCCGTTCTATCAGAGTGCGATAATGCATTGAGTGACTCAGACTGTGAGTTCCTCAATGGCTTGTCAACCAAGTGTGCTTTATCATTAGCATTTTTTCCTTTTCTTTTCCTCTTTACTGCGGTCCATTTTTGGTCATTCAGGACAGCTGCATTGGGACTATTGGGGACGGTGACGGTTTTATCCGGGTCCTCAGTTTCTACTAAAGATGCATGATTACTCATGTCAATACCATGTGGTGATTTACTCCTCGTTTGTTGTAACGGAAGTTTCACTTTGTCATTAATTAGAGTAGGTTGTTCAGCGCGTTTTGTAACAGCACTTACAACATTGACACAGACTTCACTGTCAGTGCTTGCGTTACTAGCGCACCCACTATCTTTCTTTTTACAGGCTAGAGCCAATAGGCTCATAGCCTCTTGAATTAATGTCGTCTTGTTAGTACAGCAGAACATACAAAGCCAGTGCGAGTTAGGCTTAGAACATCTTTTGTATGCAGCTGGACTGAGACGGGTACACAACTTGTAGAACCATTTTTTGCATTCATCGCACTGCATCCCTTCATCTACGGGGAATAAACAGTTCGGCTGTCCACATTTGAATGAACTACCAACCATTGTAATCAGATTAGGTTTAAAACACAATATGATCACAATAATAGAACAATCGTCAGAGTATATGCAAAAGAAGGAACCACGAGACAAAGTTTTCAATAAAATTTCAAACCTTAACTGGATTAATTCAAGTTAAAGTAGACCAAGAATGCTTTTGATACAGCAAATACACAAAAGCAACGATAATCACAACAAGTGTGAAAGTCACTGCCCTTTTTGAAACGCGCGCATTCAAACAGAATCTGTGGCTATTTGATTGAAAAAGAGCAAGCCACCTTTCAGAATAGAGTTCTGAAATCTCTGAAAATTTTGAGTTAGCTGAGACGCTGAGTTATTTCAATCTATATGTGACTATTTTTATACATTTTAAGTAAACTCAGTACGAGAAATAATAACATAAATAATCAGGGCGTATTATTTACTAAAATCTCCTCGGTACTGAGAAACAAAGTATTTGTAAAATCTCTTTTGAAAGCTTAGGGAGATTTCAACGCAATATTTTCCAGTAGAAAGTTCTATGACATATTTCTTGCTTTGGTAAAATTCTCACCAACCCTTGTGCAAGTTCATACGTAAGTGTTTCATGTGTGTTCGATCTATTTCTGAAACGCGAAGTGGTTTATTTAGACAGGCAAAATTAGGAGTAGTATGACATGTCGTGGAAATATTTTTCTGATCCTCCTAAGCCTTAGTATTTCCGAGTTAATGGCCTACACACGAAAAAAATTGACTTTTTGTTTCGAATACCACTTCCAGTGACTTAATTTGAACACGTTTATAGAGCGCTGTCTTCCCAAAGGTTAAATGGAGATAGTTCATGAATGCTTTTGAATGTGGTCTCAGGTAGTCGTCCCAAGATCGTTCAGTGTATTTGGTGCACTTTGTATTACTAATGTTCATGAGTGGCATTCCACATTTACATTTTTACACTCAATATCAGTCAAAATTTGTTCTTCCTAAGTTCTGAAATTCTATAATCTTGGGATTAGTCCTATTATTAAAGAGGCACTGATGCCGAACTAGACCATCATTCGACAAAAGTCTACGTATCTTAGCAGTTTTATCGATAGAGATGTTTATCGGTTCAAGGTATGAAAGCACGTAATGATGTCACAAGTATTCGAAGTTTGACAATGCCTAAACCAGAAACACATTTCATAGTCAGAATATATTTGGTAGGTTGTCGAGATACTGAGGAGTGATCATTCTAGGCTGGTTAGCAGTTGTATCAGAGAAGCATAGCAGACACATGACCAAGTGCCTCCATCTAATTGAGTCCAGTAAAACTAGTGCTGTCAGCCTAAAGTGTCGAAGACTTACAGAGCTATCGCTTCTGGGGATTTCTTTACCGCTACACTTGGATTGGCAAAGCAATGGTAAGATCTCTTAGGATTCAATTTATCCTACAGATATTCTACTAGAACTATAAACGCGATAAACGCGACCCAAAACTTTATGTAACGGCCATAATCAGATCAAGTACAACTTGGCTTTTTCTTTATCCGTTTCGACCAGCATTGCGTGTCTTATCGAAATGAATAAAAATTATGAAACATGCCAATATAATAGGATAATAATGTCCTTCAATTTGCAGGTCACATGCAACAGAGATAATCTACAGACACATCAGACCACATTGATATGGTGGGTGTTTGAGCGAGGAATTGATTGTTATCGGTATAACTTACAGTACTTATTACTGAATAAAATCTCGAAGGCGATAAACTGTTACAAAACATGGAAGTCTGAATTTTAAGTTCAAACATCAAGGCAGTTCTGTTATGCGGAGCTAGAACATGGAGAACTAATTCAACAGTCATCAAAAATTCTAAGGCATTTTTAATTAGTTGTTGACGCTAGATACTGTATATCTGTTGTTCGGATACGTTCAGCATTAACCGACCTTGGACAGGAACAAGCCGACTTCCAGTTGAGGAGAGAATTATTAAGGGTACAAGTGGTTGTTAGGACGCACAATACGAAATATCTCAAGCTTTCGTAGCAAGATTAATGTTACATTTTTTGGATTCACTTCTGTGTATATTTGTTTCACAGTTTATAAGCCAGTTATAATACATGTAGTTGTACTGATTTTAATCACACAATCCTCAAATCTGAACATAAGATAACTTGGAAAAGGCATAGTCAACTATTAACACGAATTTTTAATGGTTGAAATCATGAGTCGATTGAAGCTAGATCACCATGGAAAACCTAGAAGCACTGGACGGCCGTTACGTCCTACTGTGGGACTCCTCAGCATTGCGCATCAGCGATCCCACCTCGCGAGCGAGATTCGAAGAGTAGGTTGATAATCGAGAGGGCTGGAATATCAATTCGTAATCTAATCGGAAGGTATGGCTCGGCCTTGCAAGCGTGGTCATTCTTGTGTAATCTATCTCTTACATTCATAATAAATATATTGTTCTACCTCCAGTTTAATTGTGTTCTCCATCATATGTTGTTGATGACTACTATAGAACGAGTCAATGTGGTCAATGATGTGACTTCCACGTAAGATCCAATATATATAAGGTAGTCACATCACGACAAATCTACAATCTTCAGATTCTTTTAGCGCAGTACTAACAACCAAGGAGACTATAATATTTCATACTCGTCACACGCATTCCCTAAAAAATAGTCAGCGAATTACAACTTCATTTGTCCCTTCGTATCTAAATTAAGTACTTATTTCAAGGACCAAATATTCTGCATCAATGTCACTATATTGTACACATTTAGGGAAGACTCGACAATCAGATTACCGAATGTTACCATCCACAGCCCATTTTCCTAAGGGATTTTGCGTCGTCAAAGAAACATATGGAGCATAATTATATGAAATAAATTGTGCGAAAATACCATGTAATAAACTCACTAACTCACAATATCATAAACAATTTATTTTTTCTGCTATCACCTTATAAACACATTTACTGAACGACTCCCTACTTCCAAATGTTTAGAGATTATCTCCATCTGAGCTTCCGAACAATTGTAGTCCGAAAAACACAAGCACTATTCACCTTCCATTCCTGAAAGTTGCTAAGTATTCTGTGTTAAATCTTAGAGTTGGATATTATATCTTGTAGAGGCTAACTTGGGTAAGAAACTACAGCAGAAGCGAGATCACTTACCAATAAGAAAATTACTGAGGAGATATTCTGTTTGCTTGCGTCGTATACGTATTACATATGAAAAACGCTCCAGATCTCTCAAACACTGTCTTTTCATGAACTATGTTAGACGAAAACACGACAAGGATACAAATTTACGTGGGTGGTTTTATCACTGTAGGCTCTAGAATTTTAGCACGTTATAGCGTACCAAATTTGTAATGTAAATGTTGGTTTGTTTTGTGAATCTCATATTACAAATCTATTTTTAGATTTGTCTGTTAGCATATACTGAAAGCATCGAAGACCAAACTTTGAAAAGGTTTATAGAGTTGAAGATGGCGTCGAGTCTCGGTTGGCTATGATCGACACTACAATAAGATTACGCGCCAGAAAACGACTTGATTCCTTTGATAACTCGTAAACCAGAAGGCTGTTATTAGTCCAGATAAAGTATATTCATTGGTGATCTTGTGGTATCGAAAGAATACCGAGACGTGCCGACGAGTACAGTTAATAATGGCAGAGCGTAAGAAAGTTCGAACGGAAAAGGCGGGCGACTGAACGAAAAGTGATTTTGATACAGTTTAACAACAACGAGTACAGCAAAACAATCACTGGTACAATTGGGTTATAATAGTAATTGTTTCCATTTTACCAAACGCGTTCTCGTCGAGTAAAGCAGGTCACTACAGGGTTACCAAAAGACTCAGAATATTTGTGATATCGATGCATTATCTAATATTTTTTGGTGGATTACAATCTTTCTTATCAACTTCAAAGGATTGTTAAGTCGTATTTCTGCTAGAAAAAATTTCATTCATGGTCAAATTACGGGAAAGCGTTAACTATTTGCGGCATTTTGAAAAACACCAGCTGTTCCGTCAGTCCTATTTTACCATAGTTGTAAGATCGACGGAAAATCACGAATAATCTTTTATACCTATAAAAGCGTTTCTTTGCTTCCAAGTTTTAATTATCTACTCACCATATATTTTGACAAGTGTAACCTATCAACAAATCAGTTTGAAGTACGTCCTGAATCCATAAAGTGCATTGTTATTCATATCTTTTTTGGTAGTAAGAATGTTTCTGAATACTTTGTCACCCAAATTTTATGTGGCTCTAACGGGAACAAGCTCCTTGATATCGGGGCTTATTTTGGTAAACATTTCCCATTTATTTTAACAGTTAGATTTTTGAGTGGTGGTACTTTAAAAAGTACGGAAAGTCGTTTATCGAACAGATTTCCTGGACCCACATATACCCACTCATCGGTGGAAGTGATGAAGATAATGAATGTGATAGTGTGGACTCTAATGGTCCGCTAGCGTCTACACAAGGTTTGCTATTACTTGTTTTTCATCCCCTCTAGAGTGTAAGGTGTGGAGAAATCCTTATAGTTTGTTTAGAGGGGCGGAGTATCGAAAGTTCTTCCACGAAACAGGTCGTGACCCCCTGACGTATTATGATATGAACTTGTCTGCCCAAGATCATCAGACATTTTTCACGTGTGAAGCAGATGGCGGAAAGCCTGAGTATGAAAGTATGTTGTTTTTTAGTACGAAAATTTTCAAGTTATGCAACTTTCGTGGCGAGAGCGGAATCACGAAGAAAGAATCAAAAAGACGAAGGAGGCCTTGGCTAAGAACCCAGAATGTGCAACTGCAATGATCTTGCTTGCAGAGGAGGAGTGCTCCTACATAGTAGATGTGAGTTTATGGGTTATTATACAATATCTCTAGTTTTCATATCCCTACTTCCATTGTACTACATTCCATTTATAACTTACAAACACCCTGGTTTACTGATATGTTATTTGCCTTCGTGTTTAATGTAACATCGGGAATACTAATAATATACAACCATACGCAACCTCCAATTATTCTTGAGTATTAAAACGAGTTGATGAAAGTTTTATTAAAGGTTTTGTCCGTTTCTAACAGCTGTTACTGGGAATATTCCTTGTATTTAAGCACGACTGTTTACCATCAAAGATTTATACTATCCATACCTTACATAAATCTCAGCTTTCTTACAGCTCTTGGCAGTCACGTTTAGCTGTCAACATTTAGCGTTAGTTTAACATTACTATTGGGTTCGCCTATTTATCTTATCAACTTTGGTAGTTATGGGTTTTCCAATATTTTATGCTTTGAAGCTAACTGTAATACATTTTGGAGTATTCTCGCATGCTCAAATAGTACCTTAGCGGCATATTTCTTCAGCGTTGTCGTCCTTTTACTGTGATAGGTTTGCCGTAGTTTTCCAGAAACATCAGGTCCACTATCACATGGAAACAGAAACCACCAGGTGATATCACCGAAAAATGAAGGATATCTGTCCTAGTATTATTTACTCACTATATTTTTTGGTGTATAGGACTATTCATTCCTTTTTTGTTGACATAAAAGTTACTACTTCTTAATACCATTGATTTCCGTTACTCACTGTTGTTTGTTCTGTTCTGTTTTGTTAATCTATGTATATTCAAGACAAGCTAATTTATCCGTGAATCCTTAGTGATCCACAGTTTCTTACATCCAGAAAAAGAATGAATATTATCATAAGTCTCTGTTCACGGTTTCAGGATATACCATGTTAAATATTCACCGGACTCTAGTAAATATTTCTAAAATGTCGTTTATAAATACTAAATACTAAATACTATATATCGACCATCCAAGCGGGGTTACTAGTACAAACGCAGTGTAAATTAAATCTTCGAAATAATCAGTCATAGCACAATCCAGATGAGCTTTAATAGATAAACTGGTATGATGGAGTAAAATATCTGAACTAAACATAAATACGTATTTACCATTTACAACAAGCTGTTAGTTGTCATACTTAGACGTGGATTTCCATTCCGAAATTCGTATTTCGGTCAATCTATGAACTTGTCAATTGGTATATAATATTTGGGACAAAGAATAGTCCAGTTTGTTTGAAATAAGTCAGACCTCACATGCGTTTTGCATTAACGTAGAAATTCAGTTTTCTGATGTAAAATCGTATTTGCGTAACCTCTGATAGTGACTATAACAGCCTGTGAATTTTTATCGTTTGCTCGCGTTTGAAACTGACCTTCAATTAAATTTTTGTTTCTTGCTTGTTTGCTGTCATCGTGTCTGACTATTTATTCACTAATTCATTCTAATTATCTTGATAACGTTGTTAATTCGAAGCTAAATTTACAGTTGGTTTTAATTGGTTGACGTACTACAACAAACTAATCGACTTCCTTTCAGATGTGTCTTAGGGATCTTAATCACATTATGAAGAGAACTTTCGGCGGCCACCAGAGAAACATGGGTGAAACAGAGTTGTAAATCGCGATTAGATGTTTCAAGAAATAAATGCTTTTTTTAGTGGCAGCCCAGTCAGTGACATGGAAACTCACGAAACATGATTCCTTGTGACATTTTTATATTAAGGTGACTGGCGCAGAAGTTGTATACTAATAGACATAACCTAGTTAGCGGTTAGTCGTTAATTTCTATTTCCTTTATGCAATTTTTATGTCGAATTTCTTTATTTTCTGGCTTTATTCGGAGATGTTTATTTTAAGTAAACTAAAGTAAATATACTATGTTTCTGCTAAACATTAATCCTTGTATATATATTTCTTGTAGGTGGAAAAAGTATACAAACAAGCATATAAAGTTGCTGAGACAAATCTTCGTCGTTCTCAACAGCTTCAAAACCACAGTCCAGCGCATGAATCAATGTATCGGAGAGATATACATGCATTTGTTTTCATTCGACGTCGACTTGCAATGTGTGCAAGGAAATTGGGTAAATTGAAAGAAGCAATAAAAATGATGAAAGATGTATGTGTTCCTTATTGTTTTAAGAAAATAATTCTAAATAATATGCATCATTATTTCCTGTGGTCAGTTTTCTACGATTTATATCTTGAAAAATAAGTGTTCACTTGCAATGTTTCAAATCGGAGATATATATATTCGAGAGATCAATAATGAGCTTGATTTGGTCGTTTATTCTGTTAAAGAATGAGTGCAGGTTTTAGTTAAGAAAGTCCTCACCCACTTTAGTTTCTGTAGCCATAAACCCTTCTACTTGTAAACCGTATTCTTTACATTTAAGTTTACAAACATTCTGTAATTAGATTGATTAGGTTGACCTACCTTAAGTCTGTTAGTTTAACTTTTTACTTTCAATCAATAACGTAAAATGCAAAAACAAAATGCATCAATATTTCTAGGTAAGAAGTAAGTTCCTGAAGATTTAAAGGGAATGATACTCATTCAGAAAAATAGAAATAAGTGCGTCTTCCAGATAAATCGCGCTAATTGCGATACTTCAAATGACACATCATTGCAGTATGCATAGTAAGATATTACTATGAACTCTTTTCCCGACTGTTTCTGCTACCTTGACGTGCTGGTCAGGTTTGCGTGTTGTGATGAAACAGTCGGGCTACACTGGCTGGAACAATCGTTCCTCAAGGTCCTAACATGCCAGGTAGATTCGTTGAGGAGCGGTAAGACTAAAAGCAGCAAACCCAAAGTCCGAAGGAGAAGTCTTACTGCTGACTGTGCAGAGGTGTGACGGCAGTAAGGTGTTTCCTTCAGATAGACAGCATAACAGCGATTCTGCCTTCCACAAGGAAAAGTGGAGTTAGAAAAGATCGACCCTAAAAATGCACACCCCGCCTTATCCCACGGATATCCGTCTCCAGCGATAAGCTCCCAACAAGTATTGAGATAACACGAAAATTACTCACAAAATGATCAAACAGTTGTCCCTTTGTCACTGTAGTCACGCTCTACGGTCACCCACTTCTAATCCAATCTCCTTTTCAGGTACCTCTAGAAGAACCGTTTCACGGTGTGGGCAACTGGGAAGTGATAACCACCCTCATACCTTTAACAGCCATCAAAATCACTGATTTCCTCCTACTTCGACTCTCAACGATAAACTTCCTATTTCGGATTCCTCCTCATACGATCTCATACGATTGATGTATGCTGTGTCTCCGAAACACGCATACAGGATCCTAGTGTAGTCATTCACTTGACCTCACCTCGCCAAAATGAACAGCCAACGAAATACACCCTCCGTGTATCTGGCGACCCTATGGATAGTTCTCGTGGACTTGCAGGTGTAGGCATAACACTTAGTACGAGAGCAGAACAAGCACTATTAGAATGGATCCCCTCTAACATTCGCCTGTGTGCTGTCCGGCTAAATGGCTACGTAAGAAGTTGGAAGGGTAGGAACACATGTCCTCGCCTTTTCGTCGTTTCTGACTACGCTCCCACTGACTGCAGCCCGGATGAAGTGAAAGATGACTTTTACAGAAAGCTCTCTGAGCTTCTTCATAAAGCTAAACGCTCAGACATAGTACTTGTAGCAGGCGACTTTAATACCCAGTTATGTAGCTTAAACTAAACAGAAAGACATTTACGTGGGTATTTTAGTATTCCGGCTCAGTGAACAGATAGTGGTGACCGTCTGCTGGAATTGTGCTCATACGATCGTTTATTTTTAGAAAGCACTAATTTTAAGAATAAGAAGAGACATCGTCTAACATGGCGACCTCCTGCACCAAACCAACGATGGACTCAAATAGACCATATTGCCATCATTCATCATTGGAGAGGCTTGATAGGAGACTGTCACTCGTTCTGGAATACCTGTTTGGACTCTGATCATACTCTTATACGAGCACGCATTGTTTGCCCCTCACTGGACGAAGAAAAGCTGCATCAAGAAGACCCATTAGAGTTGAACTCAATGACAAAAAAGCCAAAAGTAGATTCTTGGAAGAACTGAGATCATCTTTGGGCGATTCTGAAAACGAGGCTGATCCAGATGTTGCTTAGAAAAATATACAAACAGCTGTGAAAACAGCGGCGACATCGATTAGTGATCTGAACCGAAGAGTTACAAAAAACCGGTGGATTTCTACTAAGTCTGTTGCATTGATGGATTCTCATAAACTCATCCCATCAGGCTCCAAACACGATGAAGAGCGGAAGCAAATCGGATCTAAACTAACCAAAAGTGTACGGAACAGTCGTGAGAAGTGGCAGGCAACGAAAGTAAAGGAGATGGAAAAGGCGGTGGCTGTAGACAACACCAGACAACGTTCCAGACTAATAAAAGTAACCGGAATTAAGAAGTCAAATGTAAGCGATACAATCTCGGATGAGACTCTTATCTGCTCTCAGCACAGACGTTTAGAACGATGGACAGAACACTACTACTGTACAACTACCCACCATTCGCAAACAGTGTAGTGGAACATTGAAGTAGGTCCTCCGGCTCTAGCTGGAGTTCAAAAGGCTACAGCTAATCTGAAACGAAGAAGGGAAGCTGGTCCAGATGGATTGACACCAAAGATCTTTAAGTATCGTGGTCCAGTTTCAGCGATTAGGTTGACCAATATTTTAGCTAAGATCTGCGACTTGGACGTAATTCCATCTGACTGGTCGCAAATACTGATTGTCTCAATATATAAAAAAGGATCAAAATCATCCTATGATAACCATGGAGGGATTAGTTTGACTAATATAGCATCTAAAATACTAACCTCAATAATTATTGAAGGCCTAACTGTTATATCCCCTGGCGAATTATGAATCATAAATCTGAGGTCTATTTATGGACAAATACAATATGCCCATTCCCTATTGGATAGTTGTTAAATAAGTGACCTAATCGTTTCCGTGTTCCTCTTATCATAACCTTTATTTTGACATTGGAACTATTATTATTGATTACTTTCCCCCTAGCTACAGCCCCATTGCCCAATTACTGTACAAATGTTATTTTTCTATTTTTGATATATGTGGTCTGTTTGGTTAGTATATATAACCCAGTATGCTTGTAAATAATGATTCATATTGCTGAGGCTGTTATTTGTGTTCTGGACTTAACGGGCTGGGCTAGGCAGATAGGAAGGACCGAATAGCACCCAAGACTGCTCGTACGTATTTTCTGTATCATTGCACGTTCATATATATTATAAGGGCTCAGAAATCTATACGTTATAACACTAACAAAGACTCGTGAAATGCAAACACGAGAAAATCAGGTTGGCTTAAGACCTGGTTGTGCCTGCATCGACCATATATTCATTACTCGTCAGGTTCTAGAACGCAAGCATGCTTATCGGCGTCCGATAATGATAGTTTTTCTTGACTTGAAAGCATCATTTGACTGTGTAGACCGAGAAGTTCTGTGGCAGTGTCTGTCATTAAAACGTGCACCTCAGAAGTACATAAACCTTGTGAAGGCTCTTTACTCGAACACTACCAGTCGTGTCAGGGCTGTTATATGACTTTGCAACCTCAAGTGGTGTCAAACAAGGCTGTCCACTATCCCCATTGCTGTTTAATTTCACCATAGACCCCCAAATGCCCTGGTACGGCCGAGAGTGGGGAGAGTCTACTCTCCCTCTCGAAATGCTCTCATATGGCCAGAGAATATATAGCCTCTGCCAGGGAAGTCCTACTCACTGCCTTCTCGTGGCGGGGGTGTTGTTTACGAAAGTGAGAGGACGAAAAGCGAATGTCCGGCGCTATAACCGGATTGGTGGACACGGAGGGTCCACCTAAGGGAGTTGGAAAACCCTCATTCGAAACCAATGGTGCACATGGGCTCCAGTATCCTGAAGGAACGAATGGCGGAAGAACCTATCATTGGTCAACGGCTACCATGGGACTGCATCTCCTCACGATGCTCCACTGCCTTGTGGATCAGACCTTTAGGTCAAAGGCTCGGGGTGTGGTCCCCTAAGAAAACCACCTGCTTCGGTTTGGGCACCCGGGCAGTATCACAGCCCACACACAAACAAATGAATGAAATTATGAACTCTATTGACGATATCCCTGGTCATACTAAAAGCAAGACAATTAACATTATTATTATTATTACCTTTATTATTATTATTATTATTATTATTATTATTACTTACCATATCGCTAATTCACCCCCTTTTATCCCCAATTTGTGTAACCTTATTCTTCAACTTATGCAGCAGCTCGCTCTTGGTGGAAAATCTGTCCTATCTAAACGATCTCCAGTCACTGTCTGGTTGCAAGTGAATGCTTCCACCGATTATGAATACTGAGGCAGTCTTTCTGAAACCACGTACGCCGTTCAAGCTGGCTTCCTTCAACGTTCGCACACTAATGCAGATCAGACAACAGATAGGGCTGGTTATGTCTTTGGAAGGTCTTAATGTTGATGTTTGCTGTCTATCCGAGACCCGTATTCAAGACTCTAGTGAAGTACTACAAATCCGCTCTCCATCTGTCTCGAAAAGCTTTTTCCACGTGCGCTTATCCGGGGACCCTGTGGCATCTTCGTCTGGTCTTGCAGGCGTTGGTGTCGCACTAAGCGCTAGGGCTGAGGCAGCACTAATCGATTGGTTCCCCATTAACAGTCGGTTATGTGCTGTTAGATTAGAAAGTTCCATCAAAGTGAGAAGAAACCGGCGTGAGAAACGGTGTTTTTTCGTCATCTCCGCCTATGCCCCGACAGATTGCAGCCCGGATGCAATCAAGGATGAGTTTTACCACTAGTTAACAGTTCTTCTCCAGAAAGCGCGTTCAACAGATATCGTAGTATTAGCTGGAGACTTGAATGCACAGGTCGGGCGTCTAGGCACAGAAGAGAGTCGTCTAGGTGGCCGATGGGGACTTGTTGGTCGCCGGACAGATAACGGGGACCGTTTGCTGCAACTGTGCACAGACCACAACCTGTTTCTGGCCAGCACTAACTTCCGGCACAGTCATCGCCGGTGTGCCACCTGGCGTCCTCCCTCTGCATCTCAAGCCTGGACTCAGATTGATCACAT